TGCAATGTGTGTGTGTGTGTGTGTGTGTGTGTGTGTGTGTGTGTGTGTGTGTGTGTGAGCATGCGCGCTTGTGCAAAAAATTGTACGCTAGTGTACAAAAAAAGCAACAATTCATCTAGATTTCCTTACTCAAATTCCATTTAAAGCACGTTTCTCACCAAGTTTGCATAAAGTCATCTGTTTTAAAGACATTTTAACTTTAATGCACAATCGGCACTATTTGTGTTTATATCCATCCATCCATTTTCTTCCGCTTATTCGGGGTCGGGTCGCGGGGGGGAAGCAGCCTAAGTAGGGAGGCCCAGACTTCCCTCTCCCCAGCCACTTGGGCCAGCTCTTCCGGGGGAATCCCAGGCGTTCCCAGGCCAGCCGAGAAACATAGTCCCTCCAGCGTGTCCTGGGTCTTCCTCTGGGCCTCCTTCCGGTGGGACCGTGTCCGGAACACCTCACCAGGGAGGCGTCCAGAAGGCATCCTAAACAGATGCCCAAGCCACCTCAACTGGCTCCTCTCGACGTGGAGAAGCAGCGGCTCTACTCTGAGTCCCTCCCAGATGATCGAGCTTCTCACCCTGTCTCTAAGGGAGAGCCCAGACACCCTGTGGAGAAAACTCATTTCGGCCACTTGTATCCGAGATCTCATTCTTTCGGTCACAACCCAAAGCTCGTGACCATAGATGAGGGTAGGAACGTAGATCGATCGGTAAATTGAGAGCTTCGCCTTTTGACTCAGCTCTCTCTTCACCACGACAGACCTGTACAGCACCTGTCTGTGTTTATAGAGAAATTGAAAACATCACCAGTAGACGTTTTTACTTGTGTTCAACACTACTCATCTAAAGGATCCAACAATTTTCAGTCAGGTAATCTGGACAGTTTCTTTTTTTGCTGAAACGTTTCACCTTCCATCCAGAAGGCTTCATCAGTCAAAGAAGCACACAACACACAACTGATTCTTCCCCCAAACAGCTTACTCTGAAGTGGAACAAACCAGTTATGTTGGTGCTAAGATGGTGTCTTTGGACATTTTTGGTTTTGAACCAGTTTGACATGACTGTCGACAAGGAAGAGGGCCGGCTCCTGAGGAGGGGGCGTGCCAAAGACACCATCTTAGCACCAACAACTGGTTTGTTATACTTTAAGCTGTTTGGGGGAAGAATCAGTTTTGTGTTGTGTGTTTCCTTGACTGATGAAGCCTTCTGGATGGAAGGTGAAACATTACAGCAAAAAAAAACTGTCCAGATGACCTGACTGAAAATTGTTGGATTGTATACCTGGATTATTGAGCATGGACATTTTTCATCTAAATGATGTTTCTCACAAAGCTTGAGGACAATAAGGTGTGAGGTTTTAGAGACATTTCAACTTTATTGCACCTTAACACACATCATCTCTTACACCTGCAGCGTCTTACAGCGTCACAGTTACTGCTAAGCTAAGATGCTACAGACGTAGCGTTCCACTGCTCTCAAACATCCTCCTAACATGAATATATGTTTATGATCAACCCCCCGGTCAACAACTGCCCACACTAAGCTTGCTAAACTGGCGAGCGATCAACACAGAGGTGTCTCCACTTCTCCACTTGTGAGCGATCTCTGCCGAGGCAGGGGGAGACGCAGAGGAGAAACAGTGCAGGCTAGTGGAGAGTTGGAGGTAACCAGGAAAACCTGGAGTGGATTTTTAGTGGTTTGAGTATTCTCCTATTAATCAAGTGGAATGGATTTGTTCACGAAGAAAAATAAACTGCACTGACTGAACTGTTTTATAGTAAAAGTGTAAAAATGAAAATGTTTTGAATGTGGGGGGGCACGTCCCCTTCACATATAATGGTTGCGACGCCTATGGCAGCTACAACGAAACAGGTGAGATCAGTGAAAAGTGACTCTCAGAAGAAAAAGTTGATTTTCAATTTCTCATCACGATGTGAAGCGACGCTGTAGAAGTGATTCACACAAGAACCCCACAGCTCAGAACGCTGCCGACCCATCTATGGATGTTTTTTTACTCAAACCCAAAGATAGCTGTCAGACAAACAACACATCAGCTGAGATCAGCACAGTCAGTGCATGTCAGCGGTTCTGGTCCATCCAGGTGCTCTCCAAGCTTGCTGCTTGCAGAGAGGTTTTTTTTAATGATAAACTTAAAAAAAATTCGACTTTAAAGCAAAGTTCGTTAAAGGTTTTTTTTGATAAATCTTGAAAAAGTGTTAAACTAAAAAAACTTGTTTTTTTTTCTTCAAAGTTTTTTATTTTTTAAGAATCATTGTGCATTAACAGCCAAAGTACAGATTGATTAATGTGAGATCTATAATAAATTAAAAGTTTTGATGGCATGACAGGATTGGTGATGTGTCCCACATTGTCCCCCGTAAGTATCCTTTCTGCCCCACATTCGTTTTTTTCAGGATCTGGTCACCCCACTGATTAGAGCCTGACCGATATGGAAATTTTGACTATCGTAGATACCGATATTGGAGGGGTGCAGCTACTACTGATTACCGATATAATTGCTTAAAGTTTTTGAGCTTTCTCCACCGCCAATAATCTCTGTAAACAGCTACTTTTAAACCTGTTTAAACACTTGAAGTCTTGAAACAGTCTTCCTAACATGGATTCACATTTTTCTATCCTCCACTATTCACCATAAAGTTTTCAAGTGTGTTAGAAAAATGTAAATTAAACCAAGAAACATCCTTCCTTGTTCATTGTTTAAACAGACAGTCATGTATGGTGAAGGTCTAATTAGTTTTGACCACAGCAGAATTTATTTTCTTTGCAGAGAAGTAAAGATTTCTGACAAACAATGTATTTCATTGAGGACGACAAAGATAACGTTACTAACACTGATATATTTTACCTCTACAATAGATTTATTGTTCTGGATAAAGTTTTATAGCCTATGCTAGGTTATCTAAATGTTAGCTTGCTAACTTGAGAGGCACATAGCTAATGACAAGCAGGTTGGAGGATCGAAGAGAATTTATTATTGTTGATTTATTTTTTATTTTACAGATCAGTTAAAATAAACTTGCGATGCTCTGTTCAGCAAAATATTACACAGTATTGTTCTCTGCTTCGGCTGTGATGAAAGTGAAAGTTAAGTGAACAGACATGATTTGAAAGTAGTCTTCATGCGCCATCTGCTGGATACATTGCACAATTACGCCTTTTGCCAGTAAGGAAACGGGTTCTCCCCAGTGTTTATATCGGCGCATAACTGGCCAATTATCACAGATGACGATATGCCCCAAATGCCTATATCAACCTAAAATATCGCCCCCCCCACCGATATATCAGTCGAACTCTACTACTAATATCACATGCGTATGAAACTTCTTTTTTTTTTTTTTTGCAAATCTGACCAGGTTTGACCATTTTTGTGCATTCACAGATGAAAGTGAACATTTTGTGTCTGTGAGCTTTAACTCAGTCAGACTTTCCCCTGACTCCTCCTCTCTGTGTTCAGATTGCATGGGGGTGAACCCTCTGTCTGTCCCCTCAGCTCTGCTCACCAACAGCTACAAGAACTTCACACTCAAGTTCCACAAGTAAGGCTTCATTTTTCACATGGCTCAGGCCTAGACTCGTCTAGTCTTCACTGACTAAGTTATCCCTCAGGTTGACATCCTACAAGTCACTTCTCTGTGCTGCACTCCAGCTGTATGCACAAATCTTCACTTAGTGGTTGTTGGCTAACTAACATGCTAAACAGAAGTATGCTTAGTTCTTTGCTCTGTCTTTAGGGTGTTTCTAGAAAGTTGCTGTCCTAATAACATAACTTAGGTTATAATTGTATCTATTTTTTCCAAGGCTGATAAACGTTACCATACAGTTCCAGCTGAAGGCGATCAATATTCAGACGATCATCAACAATGAGATCCCCGACTGCTACACGTTCCACATAACGGCAAGTTTAAAACATTAAGAGATTAAAGACCAAGCATTTTTTGAAGGAAAACACTTTGCTGCATTTGAAGCCAGAGTTTTAGAGTTTCTATGTTTTGTTGAGAATCTCGTGCAATATGACAAGTATGTGTTGTGAATGACTCAACTACCAGCACATGTAATTTTAGCTCAATACCTGTAAATCTGACCGTGTTATTACCAGTTATGTGTTTCTAAAGATCATTAGGCCATAGCAGCCATTTTAAATTAGGTTGACCCTAAAAGTTAATCAGTTTAGAGGTTCATTCATTGATTATTCCTGAAAGGTTCAATTAAATATCCATTGGTTTATGATTTATTTTCAAAACACTTGTCAGTAAAAGACAGATCCAAATAAAATGGTTTACGTGCTTTTCTCCTCTTCTAGATTGTTCTGGACAACAAGGCTCACAGTGGCAAGGTGAAGATCTGGTTGGAAAACCAGGCAAAAATAAAGGAGTGCAAGGACCCGAGCGTCTCTGGACACGGTGAGACGCCTCATTTAGAACCACGTGTTTGAACAGAACGGGAACGTAACGAAGTTAGGAATTGGTTCCATCTTGTTTGTGACGTGCGGAGCCTCTGGGAACTTTCAGATAAAAATCCCCAAATGTTGACACACTTACTTCTTGTTGTAGAGTTTATTATTAAAGACCATTAGTTTAGATATGTTTCATACCACTGAGGCCAGTGCTTCACGTTGGACACTCCAGTGTATTCGTCATGTATATTTTGTGCTTGTAAATCAGGAATTGTAGTGTATCGATGCACAAAGATGTAATTTTAGACGTTTGGTTTACAAGGTGCAAAATTTATTCACAGCTACACATTGTAATTTACAAATACAAAATATATTTGTGTGTAATTTGCGACCACACTAGCGCTTCTAAATGGATACATGAGAACATCTTCAGAAAATGATCAAATTGTTGTTTAAAGCTGCTGAAGCAAATGATAATCTGGGTTGCTAATATTGAATGAAACCAGTGTGCAGCCAAAATGAAACCAATGTTTTTTGTTTTGTTTTTTATCTCCAGCTGAAAACTACACTCGAGTAGCGTTTGATGTGTCTGTGGCTCTGCTGTGCCTCCTGTCTCTGCTGCTGTGTGGACGCTCCATCCTGCGAGGCATCATTCTGCAACAGGTAGGAAAGCTGTCAGTCAAAGGAGAATTAGAGTTCAGAGTTAAAGCAATTTAATCAAACGAAGAGCTAAAACAAAGAGCAATGGTGACCAACAAAACAAAAACGATAACGCATTAGTTCACCACGACAGCTGGCACATGTTTTCAGCTTCACTTTAATAGTTATCTGCCTGAATGTTGTATCAGTATTTTACACTATGATTTGTTGCTTTACAGGTCACAGTTTAAATAGAAATGTTAAGGTTTTGATTTACACGTGATCATGACCAAACGCTCAAAATAAATTTAGTGGTGAAGCCAAGAGAAAACACAAAAACAGAACGGCAGTACTTTGGGCCACCACCTTGGTATCAGTTAGAGCATCAAGTGTCTTCAGATCCATCTCCATGAGCTTGATACATCTAGTCTCTGTATTCTTGTTCGTTCCCAATAACCAAACTTCTCCAGCTTCTTCTGGTTGGACGGCGCTTCAAATCTTTAAATCTCACCAGAGAGTCTCAGTTGGATTGCGGTCTTGGTTTTGACTCAACCTTTAACTGTTTCTTCTTAAACCGGTGGAGTTTTTCTCCAACGAAGCATTTATGGTCATTGTCCTGCTGGATGGTGGATGTCTGTTCCAGTCTTAAATCTCCTTCAACTGGTTTCCTTCAAGAGTATATATCTGGTTCCTTCCCTTTTTTCCTTTAACTCTGACAAGTTTTACAGTCTCTCCCGTTGGAAAACATCTCCACAGCATGACGCCGCCACCACCATGCTTCACTGCAGGGTGGTGAAAAGTGGACGATTTGCTCCTGCCATGTTGTTGTCCTTGATGAACAAGTTCAGTTTTAGTCTCATCCCTCATCTGTAAGACATTCTACAAATTTCAGATGGTCTGCCCTATTTTTTTTAAAGACAGAAGCTTTTTCCTGCAGCTCTACATTGAAGCCCAGCTTCTGTGCAACTTGTTCTCTCTATGTTCTGTGATAGGTTCTATGGACAGATCCTGACATCTCTTCAGATGAGCTGCCATCTTTGGCCTCCTGAATGTTTCTCTGATTAATCCCCCCCTAACTTAGTCTGAGAGCTGTGGTGGCATCATCTTTCTTGACCTAATAATGCAGCGATTCTCCCTACCGTTATCCAAGAAGGGCGCCCCACCCTGTCAACAGAATCAAGCACCCCACCTACTGAAATGTCCTTCACCCCATACCCCATCGACAACTGCCGGCACTGACATAGATAGAATACAGACGTGCTACGATATCTAGCTACTGTAGCGTGTCTTTATTCTATCTACGTCAGTTCTGGCAGTTGTCACAATTAGTGATGCACAATATTATCGGCATGGTGTCGATATCGGCCGATATTAGCATTAAAGTTAAATATTGGACGTCGGCCATTCCATCAAAATAAATCACCGACATAAAAGGCGCTGTTTTTGTATGACAACCCAGTGACAAGGATGCCTGCAGCGGCAGCACAACGTGATGACGTCACGCACACCAACCTGATCTGATCACAGCAGAGAGGAAAATTCAAAATGTCTGCGGTGTGGAAGTTTTATTTTTCGTTGGTGAGGATGTCGGATTCCGAAGATTTTTGGACTAAGTTGAACCTCTACATCGTCCCAGTCTTGAGATATTTTTCCGATATAGCCTTACCCAAGTTACAAGCCATCATTTCTGACATCACTGAGAAGCTAATAGCAGGTGACTAATGCTAATAAATAATATTTAACACTTTTCATTCAATATAAGTTAAAGTGCTATGCATATCATATGGCTGTTCCTGAATATATGTCACCAGCTCTTACAGCTGTTACACAATTTTTGTAGCAAATAAGCCTAAATAAGAGGGCTATGTTCTGACAAAGGAAAGTATATAAAAAAATCGGTATTGATTATCGGCCAAATAAGTTTTAATATATCAGCATATCGGATATTTGCCAAAAATCCAATATCATGTATCCCTAGTCACAATACAGACGCGCTAGCTAAAAAGCTACTGTAGTAGAGCTCCACCTCTCTCATGCATGAACCCCCACTCCCTCGGTCAACAACTGTTGGCACTAATGTACAAGTGCACAACAGGTCTCTGTCCTCCCTATGGACAAAAACCACAGAAGAGGAAAGCACCCTGCTAAGGCAAGTGACCTATGGGAAACACGGTAAATGAATTCAGTGGTGCTTCACGAGAAGTTCAGGGTTTGGGGTTTTCTTCTTATAGTCCAACCCTGATCTGTATTTCTCTATAATTTTCTCTCCGACCTGTGCAAGAGTTCCTTGGTCTTCATGGTGTCTTTTGCTTGGTGGTAGGGCTTATTGCCTAGGTGTGTTAAACTGTTCATGATTGTGGGGACTGTTAGAAGAACAGGTGTGTGTGTGGTGGGGGGGGGGGGTATAATTTGTATAACAAATTGTGCGGCTTCTACAAAGGGAATGACTGAAGCTTCAAAGCTAAAGGGGGTGAATACATATATTACACGTCAGTTTTATATATTTTTAAGAAAATTTCCCCAAATAAGTTCATTATTCTGGTGTATTTTGTGTAGGTTACTGTAGTTGTTTCATACTGAACTGAAAATCTCTTTAAATTCCAAGTTAATAGGCAAGTGAGGAGGAGGAAGAGGTGACTCTTTCTGCACCCTGCTATGAAGCACCTTGTTGCAGGACCTACACAGTTTTTGTGCTTTTCTTGTATTGCAGGAGTTTGTGCACTACTTCAAGGAGACTCTGGACCGTAAAGTGTGCTGGTCGGACCGTCTTGAGTTTATCAACGGCTGGTTTATCCTCCTCATCATTAGCGACATCTTCACCATCACAGGCAGCATCATCAAGATCGGCATTGAGTCAAAGGTCTAAAATCTGATTCATGTTTACCATCTTTGCCTTGTTTTCTCAGAACGTTTGCAAACGTGGAACTCTTCTGACTCAGCATGGTTGCTCTGTGTCTCATTTCTTTTCTCTCTGTAGACCATGTCGTCCTATGATCTCTGTGGCATCCTACTGGGGACTTCCACTCTCTTGGTGTGGGTGGGAGTCATCCGCTACCTCACCTTCTTCCAGAAGTACAACGTAAGTCCCGGCTGCTCTGACACACATCTGGTAATGTAGAAATAAAATTGTTCATCTGAACAGATTGAATCCAGTTTGCTCACTCTCACAACGTTATTGATTATTTCTTGGTGCTTGTTCCTTTAGATTCTCATCATCACACTCCGAGCAGCGTTCCCTAACGTGATTCGCTTCTGCTGCTGTGTCGCTGTCATTTATCTGGGCTACTGCTTCTGTGGCTGGATCGTCCTCGGACCGTACCACGTGAAGGTGAGTACAAGTAAAACTATTCTCAAGGTGACTGGGAGATGTTTGATGTTTGCAAATAATATTGTGGCCTTTTGAAGAAAAAGTTTCCTATCTGTTCATTAACTTCTTTCCACTTCATCATTAAAGTATAATTAAAAGAAAACACACTCCAACTACATGTTCTGAATATAAAAAGTAATGAAAACTTTAGATTTTTTTTCCACTTTGAAAATATTCCACAGCATGCAGGAAAAGTCAACTTTAAGACTTATTTTCTTTACCATACCATTTTATTTATAGAGCACTTAAAACAGCTACAAGGCCAACCAAAGTGCTGTACAGACAGAACAACAGACAACACACAAAGCAAAATACAAAATGAAGTAGATCAAAAATATAGACATAAAAACGATGCAGATAATAAATATGACGACAAACCAGTGTGGAGCGTACAGGTTCAAAACAGATCATCTGGTGTTGAAAGCTACTGAATAGTAGTGAGTTTTTAAACGGGATTTGAAATCCGAGAGGGAGGGGGCCAGTCTGACAAGCAGAGGTAACTCGTTCCAAAGTCTTGGTCCTGCTACAGAGAAGGCCCTGTCACCTCTGCGCTTAAGACGAGTTCCTGGAACTGTGAGGAGCAACTGGTTTACTTTACTGATTCTTTACTTTTAGATTTGCACTGACGTAGCGCTAAGCTAGCGGCGAGCAATACAGATGTGTTAGCAGGTAGTGCTTCATCTCCACCACCCCCACCCCTCCACCCCGAGCACGCTCGAAAACTGTCTGTACAAACGGTGTGCATCACAGACGTGCCTCCTCTCCCCCCAGATGACAAAAGTCACGGAAGATATGAGCGCCCTGCCAAGGCAAGCAAGCTAGGGGAAACACTGGAGTTATATAAATATTTAATGGTTATAGTGGTGATATAGTAAGTTTTTCAGCTTACTGTGCGGCTATACACAAGAAAAGGACATAAGCCAGGACTATGGGATCTTAAAGATCTGATCAGCTCTCTAAATGAGATGCTCAAGACTGCCAGAGCTCGTTATTTTACTAATCTCATCAATTCCAAAGGACGAAATCCAAAAATTTTATTTGATACAATCAAGAACATTGTCTCTCCAGCATTCTTGTCTCAAAGTGCTTTTACGTATGCAGATTGCAATCGGTTTTTTAATTATTTTATTGATAAAGTTTCCAGCATTAGGGCCAGTATTTGTCCTTCATCTTCCCTTTTACTGGCTCCTTTGTCACTGACCCCTGATAAGTGGTCCTTTTTTACCCCAGTTTCAATTAAGGACATCTCAGATTTAATGGGTCATATGACACTCTCAACGAGTCCCCTTGATGTCCTTCCTACGTCGCTTTTTAAAGATATTTTTACCTGTATTGGCCCCAGTGTTGTACAAGTGATAAATTCCTCTCTTTGTTCTGGCACTGTCCCACACTATTTTAAAACTGCTATTGTCTGTCCTTTGCTAAAAAAGCCAAATTTGGATTCTTTGATGCCTGAAAACTACAGACCTATCTCCAAACTTCCCTTTCTATCAAAGATCCTGGAGAAGGTTGTAGCACAACAATTAAACTGCTTCTTGGAGGTAAATGACATCATGGATTCTTTTCAATCTGGTTTTCGCAAATTGCACTTCACAGAAACAGCACTTTTAAAAGTTTCTAGTGACATATTGATGGCAGCTGATTCTGGAAACTACACTGTGTTGGTTTTATTGGACTTGACTTCAGCTTTTGACACAGTGGATCACACTGTTCTTATCAATAGACTAAGAGATCTATTTGGTATTTCTGGCACCATTTTAAATTGGTTTATTTCTTATTTATCTGAAAGGTCTTTTACTGTTTTTATGAATAATGTTCACTCTGATGTTGCACAGCTGTCTTGTGGGGTACCCCAGGGTTCTGTTCTGGGTCCAGTCCTCTTTTCATTGTATTTACGCCCTTTAGGTTTTATTTTGAAACGTTACATTAATGTGTCCTACCATCTGTATGCTGACGATATTCAGCCATACTGTTCTTTTCGAGCCTCCGAATTCCATAAATTGACAGAACTCAGAAACTGTCTGTTAGAGATCAAAACATGGCTGAATGACAACTACCTGCAGTTAAATGCAAATAAAACTGAGACTCTTATTATTGCCCCTGATGATAAAATCCCAGTAATCAGGCAGTATCTTACATTCTTAAATCCTTTGGTAAATAATAATCTCAGAAATGTGGGTGTTGTCTTTGATAGTTCTTTATCTTTGGACAGTCATTGCAAATTGCTAGTTCGAAATTGTTTTTTCCACTTAAGAAACATTTCTAAACTACGAGGAATTGTATCACAGAAGGAACTTGAGATGATTGTTCATGCTTTCATTTCATCTCGGTTAGATTACTGTAATAGCATTTTAATGGGTCTGAACAAATCTTCTCTAGCTCGCCTTCAATCTGTGCAGAATGCTGCGGCGAGGCTGCTAACTAGAACCCACAGAAGAGTGCACATAACTCCTGTTCTGGCCTCCCTGCATTGGCTCCCTGTGCATTTCAGGAGTCATTTTAAAATTCTGGTTCTAACTTTTAGGGCACTTCATGGTCAGGCTCCCAAATATTTACTGGACCTTTTGAAGCCTCTATGTCCCATCAGGACTTTGAGATCTTCAAATCAAATGTTGCTGATAGTTCCGAGAACTTATTTTAAAACACGTGGAGACAGAGCATTCCAAGTGGTGGCCCCGAGGCTTTGGAACGCTCTCCCTCTGTCACTGCGCTGCTCAGATTCCATTGACTCTTTCAAAAATGATCTTAAGACTTATTTATTCAGACTGGCTTTCATTTAAATTTTATTTACTTTTACTTTGTGAAGCACTTTGTGATGTCATTGTCTGTGAAAGGTGCTATATAAATAAATATTACTTACTTACTTACTTACTTACTTATGGGAAAGAAAAAGAAAAAAACAATCCTCCCCACAGACGAGACAAAAGTGAAACATTTTCAAAGGTGTGAGTCCCTTTGCATCAGACATGGACGAACACTGCATGTCACTCATCACCCCAGTCACACACGGTGGTAGTAGTGCGATGGTCTGGAACTGGTTTGATGCTTCGGGACCTGGACGACTTGCTGTATTTGATGGAACCATGAATTCTGCTCTCTGCCATAAAATCCTGAAAGAGAACATCTGGCCATCAGTTTGACCTTAAGCTGAAGGTCACCACAGCTCTAGCAGCATCTTTTCTCCACAGCCATAAGAAAGGCTTTTTTCTTCTTACGGCTGCTCCCTTCTTCAGGGGTCATCACAGCGAGCGAACTTGCACAAGGACCTTGACGCCGGATGGCCTTCCTGATGCACAGACAAACCACTGAGCTACCTCTGTGTGGAGCAGAGGGCTGCTTTCTAGGGTGCCTGGGGGAGCAGATGGTGGGGGTTAATAGCCTTGCTCAACAGCCCAGAGTGGGGCAAACACGGGTGGCGGCAGGTGAGGGCGCTTCACCTTTCTCACCCACATTTGATGTTATGGTGAGGAGGATTCAGCCATGAGAAAGACCAGTTGTCTCGAACGCCTGATGGCAGTTGATGCCTAAATATAACACAACCAGTAGGTTTAAGGAAAAATTACTGTTCCCAACAAGCCCATGTTGGTTTAGTTGCTTTTTTCCCTTCATAAATGAAATGGGAACTACATTTTGTATTAACTGTTTGTCTTGGCCTGATATCGACACTTGTTTGAGGATCTGAAACGTAAGAAATGTAGAAGAAATAAGAGATGTAGACATCTCTGAATGTGGAGAAGACTTTTCCTGAGAAACCCTTGTATCGTATGATGTGACTTCTCTTTTCACATGCATACCCATCTCTGAAGCAGTAGAAACCGTCAGAAAACGACTTCTACAAGACAATGACTTAATCAACAGGACCAACTTCACCCCAGACCAGATCTGCACCCTGTTGGATCTCTGCCTCTCCACCACTTATTTCAAGTTCAATGACAGTTTTTACAGACAGAAGCTCGGCTGTGCCATGGGATCTCCAGTGTCACCCATTGTTGCCAATCTCTACATGGAGGAAGTGGAACAGAGAGCCCTAAACTCCTATGAGGGAACAACGCCAAGCCATTGGTTCCGATATGTGGATGACACCTGGGTCAAAATCCAAGCCAAGGAAATAGAAGCGTTCACCAGACACATTAACTCGGTCGATAACAACATCAAGTTCACCAGAGAGGATGCAAACGACAACAAGCTGCCTTTTTTGGACTGTTTGGTTCAGATGGAGAGAGAGGACAGCCTCAACATTGAAGTTTACAGAAAACCAACCCACACAGACCAGTATCTTCTGTTTGGCTCCCACCATCCTACAGCATTGGGCCGAACGCGTCCCCACAAAGACAGAAGGGAAGGAAAAGGAACAGAAACACATTCAAGAAGCTCTTCAAACATGTGGATATCCTAACTGGGCTTTTGTCAAGTCAACAAGGAAATCTACAAAACACACTAATAAACAGAAAAAGGAGAACAGCAGACGGAAAAACATTGTCATCCCTTATGTTGCTGGAGTATCAGAGAAATTCAGAAGGATTCTCAACAAACACAACATCCCAGTACATTTCAAACCTAGCAGGACTCTCAGACAGAGGCTGGTCCACCCTAAGGACAAAACACCCATACACAAACAGAGTGGTGTAGTGCATGTGGTCCAGTGCAGCGAGGACTGTCCAGACCTCTACATTGGAGAAACTAAGCAGCCTCTTCACAGACGCATGGCTCAACACAGGAGAGCCAGCACATCAGGACAAGATTCAGCTGTTCACCTCCACCTCACAGAGAAGGGACACTCTTTTGAGGAACACAGATGGTTTGAGAGGGGGTGAAAGAAACAATTTATGTAAAAAGAGAAAAACTGGTCCTTAACAGAGGAGGAGGCCTCAGATTTCAACTTTCAAAAACCTATAATGCAACTTTAATACTGATTCCCAGCCAGTTTTCACACCTGATGGGAACAGAGGGGTCACATCTGTGAATTAGAGGAACAAAGACCTTAAGAAACCCCTACTGTTAAGGTGTTGAGGTGTGAATTGTCAATCTGCATATGTATGTGTATCTTATCTCACTCAGCCTTATAACCTGAATCTCTCACTCACTGCTCTTTGAATTGAGAAAGCTCCTCGGATGAGGAGCGAAACGTCTTCTGTCACAAATAAAGTCCACTTGTTTTTGTATTGAACGTTTTTGAATTCATCTTGTCCTGGATGACTGAGAATCTTCACCAGCATACTTCTCCTGAGCTCTGTGACTCTGTCTCCGGAGCCTCATCCCGTTTCTCTGTCTCTTTACAGTTCCGCTCTCTGTCCTCGGTGTCCGAGTGCCTGTTCTCACTCATTAACGGGGACGACATGTTCGTGACGTTCTCAGAGATGCAGGAAAGCAGTACTCTGGTGTGGCTCTTCAGCCAACTCTACCTCTACACCTTCATCTCCCTCTTCATCTACATGGTGCTGTCTCTGTTCATCGCTCTCATCACTGGAGCGTACGAGACCATCAAGGTGGGAAATCACCTCAACAAAATCAGCTTATTGAGCTTAACAAACTGATTTAAAAAGACTTGAAGAACTTCCCGTCATGGTTCTTAGCATTCTGCAGCAGCCGTAGTGTCATTCTGTTACTTTTTGTTCTGTTCTGATTCTGCAGCATCAAACCCAAGAACCCATCCACATCACTGACCTGCACGCCTTCATAGCAGAGTGTACAGATGCACCAAACTCAGGGAAGTTCAGAGGTCTGGAGACGTCCCCGTGCTCCTTCTTTTGCTGCTGCGACAGGTCAGTGAGCGTGTCATGACCCTGAGAAAGACTCGCACTTTTAACAAGTCTTAACATAATTCACAGAGATGTTTACACAAGTATCATTTTAATGTATTTAGCAAGTGGCTGTGGTCCTAGAGGTGAGGAGCACGCCATATGAAGCTGTTCAAACACAAACTTTGCCCCAAATCAGAGAACAACTGCAGCATAAATTTCATACGTTTTCAGCTGATTTTTCTACAGCCGAACATCTGCAACATCTGTTGTTGTTGTAATTACCAAGCACAGACTGAATACACCTGAGTGAAACTCAACTGGCAAAAAATGGAGGATTTGAACAATTAGTTCAAGGTTATTTAAGTTAACGGAGCTCTCTACTGCACAGCTGGTCCATAATAACCAGTGTTTCTTGAAGAGGTCTGGTTCTAACAACCTGTGTGTGGTGCTGCTCTGAAGCTGCTTATAACTGACCCTGGATCTGAGTCCATTTCAAGCAGGATGAGCTGCATCAGAGAACCAGTCACCATCCTTCCCTCCATCCCCCCCACCTTTTTCTGGTGACGGGGGTCAGAGCCAGGGACATCCTGGACAGGTCTCCAGTCCATCACAGGGACACATAGAGACAAACAACCATTCAGTCTCTCACTCACACCTAGAGACAATGTAGAGTTACTAATCAGACTAACATGCATGTTTTTGGTCTGTGGGAAGAAACTTGAAAAAACCCACACATGCGCAAAGAGAACATGAAAACTCCACCCAGAAAGGCCCCTGGCCAGGATTTGATCCGGTGACCTCTCTGAGAGGCATCAGCTCTAGCAGCTGAGCCACCGTCCTGCCACCGATCACAATCATGGGTCAAAACATCAGCTGACAAATAAAAAATAATAAAAGGACTAAACTTATTAACCTGCTGCCACATGTTTAAAGCACAGCTGTAATGTTCCCACTCTTGTTGTTGTTGTTTTGAAATGATGTGCTGCAGGTGCCACTGTTTATAGACATTCAGACTGAGCGTTACAGATCCTGACTGACTGGTTTTACATCGTTTCATGTCTTGGACTTTCTGCAGAACAACAACGTACGAAGATGTTCTGCTGGTGAACTGAGGCCGACGTGGGCTTCCTCACAAGCCTCAGCAGCCTCCCCTGCTGGACGGCGCCGCACACTCCACACACCCAGCGTCTGCGTGTCCGTCCGGACCAAAGGTGGGCACTGACAGAGGATGAACTGGACCAGCAAGAAGAACCAGGCTGCTCCTTGGAGCTCTTGGTTTTTCCTGAAAAAGAGGAAACTGAAGCTTTTGTCTGAAGAAAAGGACCGAGCAGCGTCGTTGATGACTACGATACAGACTTTTCAGTTTTTATTTGTTTTTAAGAACAAACTGCAGTATTTTTTATTTTTGTCTTGGTTTTCTTGGAGCGCTGAACGAAAGCAGCACAACTTCTTGGTGGAAGGTGGAAGGTCCGAGCGCTACGATGAGGACTGTGAAACATTGTAATGTTCATTTGTTTTTCTTTTATACTATTTCAAATTAACACTTTTTTATTTCCAGTTTTAATTATTACATTGTTAAAACTACTTTTAGTTAACTAAGAGATACTGGAAGGTTTTAGAGGGGGGGGGGGGGTCCACTTTTAGTCCAGAAACCAGGAGCTCAGGTGCAGATTCGGCTGGTTTTCCACAGTTTCTAAGCGCAGGGCGGTTACATAGAGATGTATTATTTTTATTTTTGTCGATGGGGATATATTATGAAGCGAGCTGGCTTCCTTCTTTTAGCCTGACTTGACAAACCCCAAAACTCTAAGATACCAGGCACTACAGCAGTGCTTTAAAGCAGTGGTTCCCAGCCCTGGTCCTTGCGGGACGCCTTCCTACATTGTATCCCTGCTCCACACCTGATTTGAATGAGTGGGTGATTAACAGACTTCAGCAGAACCTGAAGTAATTAAATCACTGAATCAGGTGTGTTGGAGCAGGCAACAGCTAAAACATGCAGCGTGGCGTTCCTCAAGGACCACGGTTGGGAACCCCAACTTTAAAGGTTCTGTGTTCTCATGAAAAGGGGCGCTTCGTGCATCATTCAGTGCTTTTATTTCCTCTCAAAACACGCCAGTCCTCCAAATAAACTTTGAGAGGTTATATTCATAAATGTTTTAGCCAAATAAGACTAAAAGAATGATGAAGGACAAGACGGGGTTATTCTGATATGTTACAGACTATCAGATTAAACTTTCATAAATTAAATATTTATAAATATTATCTGACATACAGATGTATTGACATTAAATCTATCACTGCGTGCGTATTGGATGTCTTGGTAAATCTAAACAAATGTGTAAAACGTTTACAGCTCATTGCACAATGCATTATTATTTTTTATCATTATTCGTGAAGGCGGTCCAACAGCAGCTTGTTGAAGATGTACGGCAGAGAACACGAGTGCGTTCTACATTTCCACGTGTAAGTTTCAGCTGTTGGGTTAATTAAAAAGGTTCCGGTCAAATGGCAAGGTTTTTATTTAAGATTAAAATAGTTGCTCGTACATTGATTAAATGAAAACATGTTCCTGGTTGAACCACGTTTGTGATTCATTTTAATCATTAAAACGTCTAATCGACACCTAGATGTGGTGCACGGACTGATTTAAGATGGCGGCAGGATCTTGAGTTTGATATTCTTTGGCAGTCTGATGGGGCTGCAGGTTCGAGCTGGTGCCAGGAAGGGAATCCAGCGTTAAACGAGTCTTTTGTAAGCGTCGGCTGACTGTGGCGACCCCCGAAGCAGCCGAAACAAAAACTACGTTCTTTGACAGTCCCACGTTGTTTATAAAACGTTCCGCCACCGAAACTATGACGACATAGAAATGTTGACCATAAAGAACAGAAGACGTGAACAGGTTCAGCTTCTTCCTGACCGATGACCACAACTTTAACACGTCACCGGCTCTGTTGCCATGGTGATGTAGAAATCCTCCTCCTTGGTGCTGAACTCTGGTTTTCAGCTCCACCGCTAAGCCTTTAATCTGACTTGGTCGTCCAGCCCTCGGCAGCGTGTATCTCAGTAACGTTTGTTGTTGTTGTTGTTGTAAACAGTGTTGTGTTGCCTTCAGGTCAGTGGGATAATGAGAAACTCAGTCTCCAGAGTCGTGTGCTCAAATCTTTCACGTTGTTTATTCTCAAGCAACAAATCCATCATTATGTGGAAGCTGAAATGGTAAATGTTCTCTTTATTCCCCTTCTCACTGTAGAGACACATCGCTGATGATCAGGACCAAAACGGATCGGATGGTAGTAGCAGGACCTTAAACTGAAACAAGACAAATTACTCATGGCAGAGACGGAGAATGTCCTTTTGTCAGGACACTTTTGTTTTATTAGGAACATAGTGTTAACTTGTTTTAAATGTTTTTCAGAGCCTTGAATAGAGTTGTCACTGTACTTGTTTAATTTTTTGTTGCATAAGACGCACAATAGTCCCAGGAGGCTCCGAGTGGTCACCAAGCGCTGGTTGGTGAGATGAGTTCAGGTCCAAAATAAAAGTGAGCTCATCTTGGATTCAATCCAACATACCAGCAATATTCACATTTTTTTAAGACCAATATGCTGATGAATGTAAAAAGTGCCAGATTTACTGGTGGCTTTAGCTTTAAATGATGTCGTGTTCGTGTGTTTATTATCTTCTATTACCAGGAGTGTGTTTGCCTCCGTTGGATGATCGTCTGCTTTTTTAGTATTTTGAACTTGTCGTGGTCACAGTATGTGTTCATAAACAGTAAACTGCTGAATCTCTGCTGAAAGATCCCAGGGTCGCTTCTCAATTTATTTGTTTTATTTCATTCATCTAGATTTATAATTATCAGTAGTTAGTACAAAAACACAAAACTGTAACAAAGCTCAAATTAATTACAGTTTGAGTAAAAAGAAGCAAGAACATGGAGTCAAACATGCTTTCTTAATTATGACCCACTCATTACACACAAATGAAATTTACAAAGTACATCATTAGTCTTTAACATTATCAAACTATAAGTTCATGCAATTACATTTTAATTCTTTTTTTTTTTTTTTTTTTAATAGAATGGTTATTAAGTTAAAAATGTCCTGATACGTTTGATGCCAAACATTTAAACTAAGATCTTTTCTAAGGTTGCTTACCTGTGGCCCCATCTTGAGAGATTGATTCTGCTTCCAGTGATTCTATCTGGAGAGTTTTATTCAAATCTGTTCAGTGGTTTATATTTTACAAACACGAGCTTGAAACAAAATACATATTTTTGTCTTCAGCAATGGGCCATTGTTGATGGATGCAACACGTCTGTGGTGAAGCTGCCATGGGACATTTCACCTGGGCGTATGCTTCCGTTTGAGCTTGTATAATTTTTATTCTGTGGGGATTAGAGAAAATCTGCAAAAGAATTCAAACTTGTGCATCCAGTTCTTGAACAGCATTAACGTTTATGCTGTCCAATCGTCCCATCCTGGAAAAGACAAAATAATTGTGATGAGTGGATCAAGATCAGGAACTCCTCTTCGTTTTGCTCCATGCAGTGACATTTACAGTTTTTAAAATGGCTGTCTTTAAAACTTCAATGTATTTGACCTGACTGATGGTGTGTAATCATTTAGTAACATCTTAAACATTTTGGACTGGGTTTGACCTAACGTGACCAGACGTCTGGTGCAGTTTTGCAGAATTTCCAGCAGAGGGCGCTTGAACAACAGCTCTGGCAAACTTTATTCTTGCTCAGCAGGTGAAAATGATTGAGGACATGAGGAACATGTTTCTGTGGTGATGGCACAACTCAACAGCTTTGTACAAGAGTTGAAATAAACCTCTGGATGTTCTTTTCAGAGCAGTTTGATGTGATGATCTCATTTTCTGGTGTCAAGCTTGTCCGCTGAGGTAGGATCTCGTCACAGCCTCACTTAAGCTAATATCATCATAGATTATGTACTGCTCTGAGTCTGTGTGTGAGACAGGAACATGTTCAGAGTAATGCATCTATAAACACAACTCATTCGTCTTCATAGAGTAAAGTGTGACCCATACAATGCGTTTTCCTTTTCTATGATGTGTAACCAAACGTTTCCTTCTTCATTTCAAGCTCAAGTCTTGTACCAGAGACTGGGAAGTCTGAGGGTTCTGGTCAGTATCTGGGCTGTTCCTGGGACTGCACTCTTTTACACAGAAGTCACTGAGGTTGTTCCTCGGATTTGTTGGACCAGCTTTTCCAGTTTAGGGGTCACAGCACCGAGTGCTCTGATGACTACTGGCACCACTGAGGCCTTGACTCTCCACGGTTTATCTGTTCCCTCTTTCTGTCCTTTTTGGCCTGAATGTTTTTGAAGTCCTTGATATTTCTCGAGCTTCTTGTGCTCCTTCTTAGAGTTGCATTCGAGCCTAAAAAATCTGACCCGACCCGGACTACACCCATATCAGTTTTTTCTGAGCCCAACCCGAAACTGACCAATTAACTGTGATTACAGACCCGAACCCCAAAACGAGATGTTTTTTTAATTATTATTATTATTATTATTATTATTATTATTATTATTATTATTATTATTATTAAGCTTTTACTGCTTTTGTAAGCAAATCAGTTTGACATGATTTAAAAACGTATTTCAAAGAAAGGAAGATATAAGATTTCTTGTTTATTAACGAGTTAGCGGATTATTATAGTTATTATAGTTATAATAGTTATAATAGTTATTACAGTTATAATAGTTATTATAGTTACAATAGTTATTATAGTTATAATAGTTATTACAGTTATTATAGTTATAATAGTTATTACACATTTTTGAAACCATTAGTGAAAAGGCCAGACTTCAGGGGTATCTGAGGCAGGCTTGGAACACAAGAGTCAGGGTGGCTTCTGGGTAATACCAGATGGCTAGGCCTCAGACCGACGAAGCCTCTTGGATGAGGGGCGAAACGTTTCTTTTTAACAAAAAAACGAAGTCCAGATGACATGATTCAACCTTTTTTGTTAATAGTTATTACAGTTATTATAGTTATAATAGTTATTATAGTTATAATAGTTATTATAGTTATTATAGTTATAATAGTTATTACAGTTATTATAGTTATTATAGTTATAATAGTTATTATAGTTATAATAGTTATTAC